CCGAAGGGGTCGATAGTCCTTCGGCCGGTTTGGACTTCGTTTATAATGTCCATGATCTCAAGGGGGGTCCCGTCGCCTATTTATGACGCGGGCTAGACTTTTGGTTGGTTTCCAACGGCTGCCGTTGCCCACCCCTGAGTTTGGGGATTTTGTCACCTCAGCCATGATTTCAGGCCTGTCGTCCTGCGATCAGGCGCGTGGACGACGCGATGAACTTCCCATTTCAAGACGCGGGCCGTTTGCGGGTCCATCGTCCTTGGGACATCGTCGGCCCTGCCTGAGCGATTCGCTCTGAGGGGCCGGTACGACGTGCTCTTTCAGCTGGGCCTAAACCTTCCGCTGATACAAAATACAATGGGGCATACCTGAGCTTTTCGCTCTAAGGCTGCAAATGTGAAACGCCACATCGGCCATGCCTGAGCCTTTCGCTCCTAGGTGGCCGATGAGGGCGCTCGTTAATGTGTCACTCAAATTCCAAGAAATCAAAGGAAACATGATTTTTATTCATAAGTGGCTCAAGGCCGAGGGTGATGTTCAATCAATAACCCGTCAAGGGGTGAGGGCTCTGCCAGCTGCACCTCCTTCGGATTATTGATAAAACTTCACCAAATGGTGTACATTCCACGTTCGTGGTACATCGGTCCCATTTGGGCGTTTAAGCTTGTAGGTGCCGGGTTTCACCACGGCACTGACGATGTAGGGACCTTCATATTTCAAGGCTAGCTTGCCCCCTTCCGTCGGATGACTTGCTTCCCTTCGGCGAAGGACGTAGTCCCCCACTTGGAATTCCCGGGAACGTACCTTGGCGTCATAGTATGATTTTACTTGACGCCGGTAGTTCTCCGCTCGGATGAATGCTTGCACGCGTCTTTCTTCGACCAGGTGGAGGTCGATCTTCATGTTTTCCTCATTGACCTGAGGGTCTTACTGCTCCACCTGTCGGCTGGGAATGGCGACCTCCGTGGGTGCCTTTGCTTCAAAGCCATAGCACAGGGCAAAAGGTGTTTCATCCGTTGCCCTCCTCGGCGTAGTGCGATAGCACCACAGGATGTTGGGGAGCTCGTCAACCCAACTCCTTCCGGCGTCCTGTAGGTTCTTCTTTAGTCCCTCCATTATGGTTCTGTTGGCGATCTCAACCTGCCCGTTGCCTTGAGGGTAGGCAACGGAGGAGAAACGATGCTTTATTCCCCATTCTCGAAGGAGCTCCTGAAAGGGCGCCGCTTCGAACTGGGTTCCGTTGTCGGATATGATCTCTTGGGGGACGCCAAAGCGGGTGAGAATGTTCTTGTGGACGAACTTCTGGCATCTAGCCCCCGTGATGCTGGCCAAAGGTTCTGCTTCGACCCACTTGGTGAAGTAGTCGACTGCGACGATGATGTAGCGGTTGTTGCCAGCAGCCCTGGGTAGTGGGTCGACCAGGTCAATCCGCCACCTTGAGAATGGAATGGCAGTGCTGACGGGGGCGTAGTTGACGGCTGGCCGACCAGGGGCCTTCTGGAGCACCTGGCACGTGGTGCATTTCCTGGCCAGATCTGCACAATCCCGCGCCATCGTCGGCCAGAAATAGCCCTGGACGACGAGACGCCGGGACTGTTAGTATATATGTCCTAGCGACAATCACCTTTTAGAGATATATGTACTTGATCACATTCAGTTTTATATATTTGATATATATGGTATTACACATTGATGATTAAGTATTTCGATTGTCAATATCTTATTCATAATTGTGTTCCCTTGGACTTATGTTGTCAATAAGTAAGTGAGAGCTTATATGATATAACATAAAGTCCTAAAATAGCCCCAATCAATGATAATCAAGAATGGGATATTGATGATATGCGATAAGATTGGTATGTGGACTGCATCATACTTTTAGAAAGTATAGTTGATCTCACAACCATGAGTTCCTGTAATTCATGATGGTCACATAGATATTTTAGAGAATATTGGCATACCCACCGAGAAACCATTTGATAAGTTCTATTCATGTGTCTATGGGATTATCGGCGTATAGAGTGGTGTAATAGTCCTCCGACTTGAGGTCAATACGTACTACATGTGCGGAGTGATGTACTTTGACCATGACCAACGCTTGCACTCCAATCGGGGTAGATACGGCATGCGTTGGGTGCATCACGAAGCATATGGAGTAGTAGTTGAGCCAAGAAAGGATTCATTCCTCATAATAGATTAAGAGAGAACATTCTACTTCTCATATCTAGATGGATCATAAAGTCATTGGCCAATGCAAAGATATATTCGTTTTGGATATCGAATATGATCGTTATGGATCATCTAGAAAGATTGAGAGACAGAGACTAAGTTATTAGAATAGACACAGTATCATGTTCTAGACTTAGTTGAATGTTCGTTGAATGAAAGGACCGTATCACTATGAGCTCTATATTACAGGGAGTTTGAATAGTTCTCACAAACGTCCTTATATATTAAGTTTGTCAAGTAAATCGTCTAGGGATTCTGCCAAGACCTTAATTTGATTAGTGCTTAATATATAAGGCCCTATGGGTCACACAATAAGTGATTATACCTTTCGATTGAATTGTTAGAAGGAATTAAATATTATTAATTGGATTAAATAATATTTAATTCGTAATACTGAAAATGGATTAAATATTAATTAGATTAATATATTTAATTCATTATGTTGAAGGAGAGTTATATTTGATAGAATTAATTAAGTGAAATAAATTAGATTTATTGTACTTAATTAATTAAGATGTATTTATTTATTATTAAATAAATTGATATATTTCTTTTAATTTGGAATTAAAAGGGGAAAGGGAAAATAAATAATAATGGGGATGGAGAGAGTGGCGTGGCCCTCTTCCTCCCTTGTTATTATTTTGTTTTGTTTTTTATCTGTTTATTTAATTAATGATAAGTATTGGTTCTGGTAGGACTAAAACTCATTAATGAGAAAGACTTTCATTGTGATTGGGAAACTAGTTTAGAACTACTATAAATACACTCTCCTCCTTCATAATAAATAGACTAGTTTTAAGATTCAGTATTACCAGTTTATTTCCCTGCGAAGAGATTTCCTAGCCTTTCTCTCAGGGAGATCTAACTGTTCTTTCGGAAAGGAGAAATCACGTGGATACCAAAGGTCAAGGATTATCACCGCTAGGCTGGAATATCTATAAGTTCTAACTCAGATCTGTTATTATTGTTATATTCATTGTTTTGTCATAATCAGGGAAGATCTGTTTGGGAAAATTTTAAACTTCCGCTGCTGTACTTTCGAGGTACGTTACATCTATTTCCTAACAGTGGTATCAGAGACAAACTGATTCTAATGACATCATACGAATTTTGGTAGATATTTTCGTGAGATAAAATTATACTCGGTATAATTTTTTATCTTTATATTCCATATTTTATTTGCGTTAAAATTGGTCCGTGTTCATCGCGATTAATGGAAATCGGATTAGGCAAATTACGACAACCTGGAATTTTTTTTATCATTATTGATAGTCTAGACAAACACTGTCCCGGGAAGAAAACTGCCGCTTAATACCATTAATTAATTTTAGCTTGGAACTGGATCTCTAACTTTGTGGAGTTTAGACCAATTATCAGCGTCCACGTTTTTGAAGAAAATCAGAATTGAATTTGAAGTTACTTGCTGCTTCATGGTGTTAAGGCGGTAGGCATCCCCTTAAAATGATAAATTAAAATCAGTTATTAATTGAGTCACTATTCTACTTGAAGTAAAATACCAACTCCTTGATTATTTAGCTAGTTATTATTACTTATTTACTGGTAGTAGAAGTCTTAGAGACGTAGTCTTTAGTCATCCGGATAAAACCAAATAAAGTTATTTGGTTTAATCATGATTATTATTATTTTAATCATGCTTATAAATAAAGGTGTTTGATAATATGTTTTAGCATCTTGATTAAGCAGTTTAATACCCCGCTAAATGTTCCCCATAAATTAAAATTTAAGTCTTATCTGGGATAACGACATCACCCATCATAATTAAATTAGTAGAAATATTTTTTCGTTGAAGAATATTTCACCCAAGTGTTTATTCCATTCGACAAAATATAGAACTAATTTATAGGTACAATTGTTTGTGATCGTGTGATGGTTTTGACTTACTTAAATTAGCTCGAGTCGCCCAAGCGTCAGTGTTAATTTAAGGATGTCGATCATTTAAAAATTGATCAACCAAAAGTTGCTTGGACGCAATTGGTCTGGGGACCTACCTATTATACTATTGCAGTGATCAGCCCAAGCTGGGACTGTAATAGTATGAATGAGGATTTTGGCCACTATGATTGTAAAACATTCCATGTTCCTTTTATTGGGGTCAAAGAGCATGTAAAAATAGTGGGAGCTAAATAATTAAAAGTCCATATTATTTAGTTAACTAGATGTGATCATAGGAATTAATATATGATTTTAATTCCCGTTATATTTGAACTTCTCTAGACTTTTAGGAATGTCGAATTTATCATTGAGAAGTATCTTGGATACATGCAAGCTCACTGGACCAAACTTTCTGGACTGGGAAAGAAATGTGCGTTTAGTTCTTAGACAAGAAAATATTGAGTATGTGTTAGACACACCGGTACCCAAGATTCCTGATGCTAACTCTCCCGAGTTTGCCACGTTTGACCTGACTGCTCGAGAGAAACACGTTACTGATGCTAAAACTGTGCAATGTGTTATGTTGGCTGCAATGTCTATGGAGTTGCAAAGGCAACACGATAGGATGAGCACCTTCGAGATGCTTGAACACTTGAAAAGTCTGTTTGATTCAGAGAGTCAGACTCTAGAGTATGAACTTCTGACAGACATTTTCAAGTGTAGACTTCAAGAGGGTGGCAACGTGTCTGAGCACGTCCTCAAAATGATTGGCTTAATTGAAAGAGTTGCTACCACCGGAATTAAGTTTGAGGATCGTGTCTCAGCTGCTATCATCCTATATTCGCTTCCGAGTTCATTTACTAACTTCATTGTGAATTATAATTTGAACAAAACGAAAGCGACCATGCCTGAACTCCATAACATGCTCAAGTCTTATGAAGCCTCAACCTCTAAAGGAAAGACTGTTCTTATGGTAAGCTCTAATGCTAAGTCTCGTTCTAAGAACAAGAATAAGCAAAAGAAGAAAAGTAAGGTTGGACCTACTCCTACAGCTCTGAAGCTTAAAGGTAGAGGTCATATGAAGACAAAGGTTGCAAAGGATGTTTGCCTCTACTGCAAAGAGAAGGGGCACTGGAAGAGAGATTGTGAGCTGTATAAGGCTAATCTAGCCAAAGCACCGGGTGCTTCAAGCTCAGGTATTTTTATCATTAAATAAATATGTATATAACTAACTCTCATTGTTAAAGTATTAGATACAACTTATGGCTTACACATTTGTAAAAATGTGCAGAAGTCTGAGAAGCAGTGTAGCAGTTGGACTGGGTAAAATTGACCTACGCGTGAGGCTGGAGCAAAAGTTGCTGCTGAACGTGATAGGATCTTATAGTTTAGATTTGCCCAGTGGTTTTAGATTAGAATTAAATAATTGTTATTTTATTCCTTCTATTACCAAGAAGATTATTTCCATTCATATGTTAGACATTAAAAGATTTCTATTTCCATTTTGCTAATAATAATTGTTATTTTTATAAAATGGTGTTGTTGTGGAAATGCTTTTCTTATGAATGATTAATTATCAATCGACATATTAGATATTAAATGAATAAAATAAAAGGATCTCGATTAAGTAATCAGAAAAATTACTACCTATCTATGACATTGCAAACTCGGTCAAATTAATGAAACAAGAATAGCAACGTTAAATGAATTAGATTATTTAACACCATTTGATTTTGAGTCATATGGAAATTGCGAATCTTGTCTTTCAAGCAACTTGACTAATAATCCTTTTCTAGGAAAAAAGATAGCAAGTCAAAGAGTACTTGAGTAAAATTTATGATTTATTTAAAAGGTCAAAGAATTCGGTCATAATGAACTCCTCCAGAACACCTTAAAAGACTGGCATTTCTGTAAGGAGAAATAGGGCTTTGTTAGACATGGCTAGATCTATGATGAATTCATTTTCTCTTCCAAACATTCTTTTGAGGGTATACGCTATAAATCTCAATATACATTCTGAATAGTTTGATTAGTGCAAAATGTACTATATGAGTTATAGTATAATAAAAGACATTTTCTTCACATATTAAATACGGGTTGCCCTACATATGTAAAGAAATGTGCACTAATCAAATTGAAAGCTGAAGTAACATAGAGAATGAAGATTTGTTAGATGGTCTGACGAAGGATTCAGTGGGAGAATTGACTTGAAGAATGTCTCTAGGAGGATATCCTTCAGCTAGTGGGAGTAATAAAGGAATCACCTCGCACCAGCAAGTGATTCTTATTAAAGATAAGATGACATGGTTGTCATTCCTTCTGCACCCACTTCTCTTTCTCTGGAAACACTTAAAAGTGTAGCACCAGAAAACTCTCTAAGCATTGGATAGTCCAATGAAAGAGAACCTCTTCACGATTAGAATGAACAGCATGAACAAAACGCAAAACATTCAACTCTGCGGGTCTACTAGGATTCATCATGAACTAACTAGGTTAGGCTTCCTCATGGAGGATCATGATGATGTTAAGATTCCTGATACGGATGAACCTGAGAAGCAATATGAGATGTTGATTCATAGAGGTGGCGAGAAGCCATAAAATCTAAAATGGACTCGATGTGAATCAATCAAGTATGGAACTTGGTTGACTTGCCTGTTGGGTTAGACGCATTGGATGCAAAATGATTTTTAAGGAGAAAATTAATGCTGAAGGCAAGGTGAGAACAAACAGAGCTAGGCTAGTGGCTAAAGGTTATAGTCAAAGAAAAGGAATTGACTATAGTGATACCTATTCACCAGTTACAAAAATCAAGTCCATTTTGATTTTGCTTGTTATAGCTGCTCAATATGATTATGAGATTTGACAAATGGATGTCAAAACCCCTTTCCTTAATGGAAACCTCAAGGAGGAGGTGTACATGGTACAGCCTGAAGGTTTTATATCTATATCAAATTCTAATTCAATATGTTAATTAGAGAAATCTATTTATGGGCTAGAACAAGCATCTAGGAGTTGAAATATTAATTTTGATGAAAAAGTCATATCATTTGACCTCATCAAATGAAATGAGGGTGCTTGCGTGTTTAGAGTGCGCAACAAGGATAGCGTGGTCTTTATAATCATATATGTTGATCATAGAGAATGATATCCCCTCATTGAAGTCAGTGAAAGAATGGTCACCAAAAATATTCATGAATATCTTTTGTCTATGATAGACAGAAAGAACTAGTAGAATTTAATTATTCTAGCACTAGTTTCATGTATGATAAGAAAGACTACGAGTCACAACCAGTATATGTTTTTAGTCTCAATGTAATAGTAATACTGCAAGAGTTGCAAGTAAGAAACTATTGTAAATTCGACAACTAGAGGCTAGTAAATTGTTGCATTTGATGCAACATAGGTAAGCGTTTAGATACGTTAGTTCCTTAAGGAAATAGAGGTAGTTCCTAGCGACATTTATCCAATAATTGTTATTGTGACTGTGCCGGTGCATTTGCACAGGCTAAGGAACCAATATGCAAAGTAAGGAACTAGAAAATACCAGTATGCTATCGTGTTTGATAACAAATAGCAAGATGAGAAGTTGCAATAGAATGCCTTCCCGTAGAGGACAATTTGGCTCACCCATTCACCAAACCTTTGAGATGCGAGAAACATACTAGACTTCTAAGAGACTAAGTATTAGACGCATCGGTGATTGGCACTAGGCCAAGTGGGAGATTGTTAGTATATATGTCCTAGCGACAATCACCTTTTAGAGATATATGTACTTGATCACATTCAGTTTTATATATTTGATATATACGGTATTACACATTGATGATTAAGTATTTCGATTGTCAATATTTTATTCATAATTGTGTTCCCTTGGACTTATGTTGTCAATAAGTAAGTGAGAGCTTATATGATATAACATAAAGTCCTAAAATAGCCCCAATCAATGATAATCAAGAATGGGATATTGATGATATGCGATAAGATTGGTATGTGGACTGCATCATACTTTTAGAAAGTATAGTTGATCTCACAACCATGAGTTCCTGTAATTCATGATGGTCACATAGATATTTTAGAGAATATTGGCATACCCACCGAGAAACCATTTGATAAGTTCTATTCATGTGTCTATGGGATTATCGGCGTATAGAGTGGTGTAATAGTCCTCCGACTTGAGGTCAATACGTACTACATGTGCGGAGTGATGTACTTTGACCATGACCAACGCTTGCACTCCAATCGGGGTAGATACGGCATGCGTTGGGTGCATCACGAAGCATATGGAGTAGTAGTTGAGCCAAGAAAGGATTCATTCCTCATAATAGATTAAGAGAGAACATTCTACTTCTCATATCTAGATGGATCATAAAGTCATTGGCCAATGCAAAGATATATTCGTTTTGGATATCGAATATGATCGTTATGGATCATCTAGAAAGATTGAGAGACATAGACTAAGTTATTAGAATAGACACAGTATCATGTTCTAGACTTAGTTGAATGTTCATTGAATGAAAGGACCGTATCACTATGAGCTCTATATTACAGGGAGTTTGAATAGTCCTCGCAAACGTCCTTATATATTAAGTTTGTCAAGTAAATCGTCTAGGGATTCTGCCAAGACCTTAATTTGATTAGTGCTTAATATATAAGGCCCTATGGGTCACACAATAAGTGATTATACCTTTCGATTGAATTGTTAGAAGGAAATAAATATTATTAATTGGATTAAATAATATTTAATTCGTAATACTGAAAATGGATTAAATATTAATTAGATTAATATATTTAATTCATTATGTTGAAGGAGAGTTATATTTGATAGAATTAATTAAGTGAAATAAATTAGATTTATTGTACTTAATTAATTAAGATGTATTTATTTATTATTAAATAAATTGATATATTTCTTTTAATTTGGAATTAAAAGGGAAAAGGGAAAATAAATAATAATGGGGATGGAGAGAGTGGCGTGGCCCTCTTCCTCCCTTGTTATTATTTTGTTTTGTTTTTTATCTGTTTATTTAATTAATGATAAGTATTGGTTCTGGTAGGACTAAAACTCATTAATGAGAAAGACTTTCATTGTGATTGGGAAACTAGTTTAGAACTACTATAAATACACTCTCCTCCTTCATAATAAATAGACTAGTTTTAAGATTCAGTATTACCAGTTTATTTCCCTGCGAAGAGATTTCCTAGCCTTTCTCTCAGGGAGATCTAACTGTTCTTTCGGAAAGGAGAAATCACGTGGATACCAAAGGTCAAGGATTATCACCGCTAGGCTGGAATATCTATAAGTTCTAACTCAGATCTGTTATTATTGTTATATTCGTTGTTTTGTCATAATCAGGGAAGATCTGTTTGGGAAAATTTTAAACTTCCGCTGCTGTACTTTCGAGGTACGTTACATCTATTTCCTAACAGGGACATACTGAAGGGGCCCTGGTGTGAGGAGCAAACACCACAGTGAACTTCCTCCATGGCCACATCGGCCTCGTCCTGGTGCAGGCATCAGAGGAGAGTGCCATTGTTGGATCGTTTGTAGAGTTTGCCATCTTCAACAGTGTAGCTTGGGGCCCTGAGCTTGGCGAGCTTGGCCCTATCCTTGTCCTGGGGTAGCTCCCCCGTCATGATGAAAGTGGCGATGTCGGAGATCCTCGATCTTGGCTAACTTGGAGATGTGCTCCGGAGTATCCGAGCTGAGCTTGGATAGTATGTCGGCCTCGACGTTCTCGGCCCTTGGGATCTGTGTGATCTCGTAGGTTTCGAACGCCTTCAGCAACTCCTCTGCTGCCTGTTTGTATTGCTTCATCCGGCCTTCTTTTGCTTCGTATGTACCCTCAACCTGGCCCACTACCAGCTTGGAGTCGCACCTGATTCTGATGTGCCTGGCTCTGAGGCCAGCGGCAAGTCTGAGGCCGCTGGGGAGGGCCTCATACTCGGCTTCATTGTTGGATACCCTGAAGTTGAAGCGGATGGCATAGTAGGCTCTGAATCCTTCAGGGGATATGAGGACGACGACGCCCCCGCATGATTTCGCGGCCGATGAGCCGTCGGTGAAGAGGATCCATGTGTCATCCGGCTCTGGCCCGGGGGTAGTAGTGGTCGTTTCCCTAGCTGTGCATTCGGTGACGAAGTCGGCCAAGGCTTGCCCTTTGATAGATGGCCTTGGCTTGATCTCAATCTGAAATTGGCTGAGGAAGATCGCCCATTTCACCATCCTTGAGGAGCTAGTGGGGCTCCTGATGAGTGCGCCAAGGGGCTGCTGGGTCAGTACGTGGACGGCATGGGCCTGGAAGTAG